GGAGGCATTTGGGTAACTAAGCGGTTCTCATCTATGTGAACACACACCTGCCGTCGGTGAGCTCACCCAGAACTCCCTCAGGGACTGGACTGAGGACCGCTGCGGTAGGTCCACTTGCATAACATACGTACAYGTGTGTGCACAGAGATCTCACCTTTTTCACTTTACAATTCTGGTCATTAGACAAAAAACAGAGTGCTAGAAGCTACCAGCTTTTATAAAGACAACTGGATCCAAGTCCCACGTCTGACAGTCGGACAGGCTAAGGCCACCTGGTAGCACGGCGGACCCCAGGACTTCATTCTGAGAGCTGGTCTTACCGAGGCTATGGACCAGGGTTGGGGTGAAGCAGTCCCCACAACAGCTTGGCTTTTAAAAACCCTCTTCCCCGTCCCATCCCCCTTCCATCTTCAGGGGTTCGGGAGCTCCGTCAGATGTTTGCATTTTAGCAAGGAATGYGGGAGTAACCACCCGGAATCACCCGGCGTTTGATAGCACGGCCCTCTCTTTCATTTGCCAGAGTGGTCTGCTTGACTGGCCAGCACAGGCAGAAATGTGTTTAGAAATGGTTTTTAAAACACTATTCATGTTTTCTTCTTCTTTTTCCTGGTTCATATGGCAGACAAAGCTGTTTTTCTTGCGTTGGACAGACACAAGGGACGTCCTGCTGAGGCTGAGGTTCTGAYTGAGGCACAAGGTGGCTTCAGGGAGGCAGAGGGCTCACTCTCTCTGTCTTATTGGGCTGCTCTTTGTCACCTTGCTGGTCAACTTGGTCACTGTGGTAAAATGCTTGAGAGAATCAGCTTTCAGGAGCAAAGGTTCATTTTGGCTCATGGCTCCAGAGGTTTCAGTTCAGGTTCACTTGGCCCCAGGGGTTCAGCCTGGGCCGGTGGGGGTAGGGGATGGGTGGCGAGAGTTGGCGGCCAGAGAGAGGGAAGGAAAAAGGGAGAGAGGGTTGGGGCAGAGCTCAGTTTCTCAGCTGCTCGGCTCAGCTCCTGGCCCCTAGGGAGCAGAGAGAAGGGACGAGGTCCAAACTTTCCCTTCTAAGCCTTCCCCAGGGCCCTACTGCTGCCAGCTGGGCCTGACTGCATAAAAGCAGGCCCCCGGCTGGCGTGCTCCGGGAGCCGTCCTCCCCCAGACTGCACCTGACCTGCACACCTGAGGCCCACCCGGGGTGGGGCCAGCTCCTAGGCCTGGCATCCACACAGTGCACCCTGGTTGTGCCAGACAGCTGCCACCACCCAGGGTTGCAGCCTGGGTGACTGGTGAGGCCCCACGCTGGTCACCATCTGCTGTGCCCTCACCCCGTAGCTTGGTCCCTGAGGGCTGTCTCTCTGCCTGGGGTAAAGGACAGCCCACCCCTGGAAGAGCACCCAAGGTGGCTTCTCACCTCCAGGGAGAGGAAGACCCTGTGGGCCCCAGCTCCCCTCTAGCCAGAGGTCCCATGTGGCTGCCCCCCTGGGTTTCCTCCTGGCTCAGGTGGCAGGTGAGGCTCTGAGGGGTCCTGGGGCAGTGCAGAAGGTGGAATGACAGAGACTTGGTGTGGGGACCCTGCGGCAGCCCACATGGCTTCCTGCAGTGGGTCCATAGGTGACCTTGCCGTTGACGTGAGGGTTCAAGGTTCTGAACCGTTGCCCTGGTCGAGGCCCAGGACACTTGAGGCCCAGGACACTTGAGGCCCAGGACACTCGAGGCCCAGGACACTCGAGGCCCAGGACACTCGAGGCCCAGACTGGAGAAGCCTCTGGAGGGGACAGAGCCATGTGAGGTCCCTCTTCCCTGTCCCTTCAGGCTGACACTCTGCAGCAAGCTGACGGGCACCATGATGAAGGTGTGCTGGCCCAGGAGGGTGTGGGACAGTGGCCCAGCCTGGCCTCAGAACTCCAGAGGTCTGGCCATCCCCTGCTGAGCCACAGAATGACCCCTGCAACCTCTCGAGGGGCTCAGGGGTCCAGGTGCCAGAAGACGAGTTTGTCTTGGGGGTCCCCTTACCTCCAGGGCCTGGGCTTCCCCTCCTTGGCTCTGCCTTGGGCAGGGGGCGAGTGAACACGACTGTGTGTCGGGACAGCCGTCCTGGTCAACCCCAAACCTGCTGAACTGGCCATGTGAGTAGGCGGCTGCTGCTGGGAGGCCCTGTTCCTCCTCTCAGACTAGGGGACATCCTGAGAATTTTCAGAGCTGGCCTGGGCCAGGGTGTGTGGTGTGTAGGGCCTGTCCCTTCTGAAGCCTGTTTCCCTCTGTCTGCTCCCTGAAGCATTCACCTCCTGCTCCTCCTGGCTGAGGCTGCGCCTGTGCTGACACCAGCCCGGGTGGGCCCAGGCTCTGGGGCACCTGCCCAGTGTGGAGAGAATGTTCCTCTTGTGCCCATGTGGCCTGGAGAGCCACGTGGCACTTGCACCTGCTGCTGGCGTGGGCACAATCACCCTTTGAGTGAAGAGCCCAGGGGCTTCCAGGAGACAGGAAGCTGCCTCAGAGGCGCCAGAGCTGGTGCGGGGTGAGCAGAGCCGGGGCTGCGGGGTGAGCAGAGCTGGTGCTGTGGGGTGAGCAGAGCTGGTGCGGGGTGAGCAGAGCTGGTGCGGGGTGAGCAGAGCTGGTGCTGCGGGGTGAGCAGAGCTGGTGCGGGGTGAGCAGAGCTGGTGCTGCGGGGTGAGCA